TGTAGATGATATTACCTTCCAACTATCCCATTTTGCTCAATAAGCGATATTTTGGTACAGTATGTCTGAAACACTAATCATTGCAACGAATTTGCTAGGAGCGTGCCGCAATCGGATCACATGATGAGGATACCAACATGACTAGAAATGAAATGAAAATTCCTATCAATCTAGAAAACCTCACCTAGATTACTAGGTCACTAGTATTCTAGCCGGTCCCAAGCCCGGATAAAGAGGGAGGGTTGGGGCGTGGTGCTAGCAACTCCACCCCCAAAACTTAACCAAATTGCTACTAAAACTTCAACGCACAAATATATTCAAAATTCTAAAATTACAAATAGTGACCTTATTTTTCGCTGGAATCGGGGAAGTGAAATGACGCGGGCTGGTGAAAGCCTTCGGGAAGCCAGTCAGCCGATGTGCCTTCTTTCGATGAAAGCGAAAATAAGGATGGGGACGTGGAATGTTCGTACAATGTACGAAGCTGGGAAGGCTGCTCAGGTAGCCGCAGAAATGAGGAGATATAAAATAGAAGTGTTGGGAATCTGCGAGAGCAGATGGAACGGATGTGGAAGGAGCCAACTATCAACTGGAGAGACAATAATCTACTCCGGTCACCCAGAGGACAATCACGAGCACATCGAGGGAGTAGCCATCATGATGTCACCAACTGCAGTCAAAGCTCTCATGCAGTGGGAACCAATCTCCTCCAGGATAATGACAGCCAGGTTCAACTCAAAAGGAAGGAAGGTTACAATCATTCAATGCTATGCGCCTACAAACGTCTCAGAACAAGAGAAGAAGGAGGCCTTCTATAGACAACTACAAACAGTAATGGACAACGTCCCAAATGGTGACATTAAAATCCTGATGGGCGACATGAATGCGAAACTGGGAGGAGACAATACAGGAAGAGAACTCACCATGGGTCGTGAGGCCCTCGGTGAAATGAACGAAAATGGTGAACTCTTCTCAGACTTCTGCGCCTTCAATGATTTGGTGATTGGTGGCAGTGTGTTCAAACACAGGGATATACACAAGGCAACATGGATTTCACCAGATGGACACACCAAAAACCAGATAGACTTCATTTCAATCTCAAGGAAGTGGAGACGGAGCCTACTGGACACAAGATCGAGGAGAGGAGCAGATGTGGGTTCAGACCACTATTTAGTACAAGGGACTTTCAAGGTGAAGCTGAAAGCCTCGAGGAAAGCTGGGGAAAGGCCACAATGCAAGTTCAACACTCACAAACTGAAGGACACAATCACACAGGACATTTTCCCTGCAACTGTCAGAGCAAAGCAGGAAATACTACGTGGCACCACTGAGGAATCATGCGTGGAAGACCATTGGAACCCTCTGAAGGTAATTTTCAACGAAACGTGCTCAACGGTTTTAGGAAGAAAGAAGAAACAAGACAAGGAATGGCTCTCAACAGACACTTGGAAACTAATAGAGGAGAGGAGAAAAGTGAAAGAGAAAATGATTCAATGCAAAGATGGACAAGAGAAAGAGACGCTGAACTCAACTTACACAGCACTGGACAAAGAAGTGAAGAAGAGTGCCAGGAAGGACAAAAGAAAATTCTACGACAACCTGGCTACTGAAGCTGAGAAGGCAGCAGGCAAAAGGGACCTGAGGACACTATATCAGATAACCAAGTCTCTATCCGGGAAGAGATCAAAACAAGTGAAACCTATAAAAGACAGCCAAGGGAACCCAATTACCAAAGAAGAAAGACAGATTAAACAATGGGCGGACCACTTCAAAGGACTCTTGAACCGACCACCACCTACAACCCGTCCAGTAATACCAACAACAGCACGTACACAACTGCAAGTTGACACCAATCCTCCAACGAAAACTGAAGTCATGAATGCAATCAAGCTTCTGAAAGCTGGAAAAGCAGCTGGACCAGATGGAATACCCCCGGAAGCACTGAAAGCGGACCCAGAAACGACGGCAGATATGCTGACTCCATTATTGCAAAAGATCTGGAAAGAGGGAAAGGTGCCTACTGACTGGAGGAAAGGTTACCTGTTGAAACTACCAAAGAAAGGCGACTTAGGACTCTGCAAGAACTGGCGAGGAATCATGCTCCTGTCGACGCCAAGTAAAATCCTGAGTTGCATCATCCTGGAGAGAATCAAGGACGCACTGGATACAGAACTCCGACCAGAACAAGCTGGATTCAGGAAAGGCAAATCATGTTCTGACCAAATTGCAACTCTACGCATTATCATCGAACAAAGCATGGAATGGCAATCAAATCTCTATCTCAACTTCATAGACTTTGAGAAGGCCTTCGACAGCGTTGACCGCGAAGTAATTTGGAAACTACTCGAGTACTACGGCGTACCGCAAATATTCATCAACCTTATTCAACAACTGTACGACAACGGCACATGTCAAGTCATCCACAACGGAAAACTCAACGAGGCGTTTGGAGTAAACACAGGAGTCAGACAAGGGTGCTTATTATCACCAATGATATTCCTAATTGTGGTGGACTGGACTGGATTATGCGTCAGACAGTGAGAAACGAGAAGACAGGGATATCCTGGACCGACGTGAAGAACCTAGAAGACCTGGATTTCGCGTGTGGATGATTTATGTTTGATTTCACACAAAATCGAAGACTTACAAGCAAAAACCGACAAACTGGTCGAAGAAGCAGCCGGTGAAGACAGGACTCCAGGTGAACATAGACAAGACGGAGGTTATGAAAATAACCAACCAACAACGACAACAGCAGCAGCAACAACATCCAGCGCCAATCACCATCAACGGGAGGGATTTGAAAGAGGTTACTTCATTCACTTATCTGGGGAGCATTGTCTCAACCACAGGAGGAAAGGACGAGGATGTCAAATCGAGCGGGAATCGGGAAGGCGAGAAACACATTCATCAACCTGAAACCAATCTGGAAATCTTCGTCACTCACCATCAACAACAAAATTCGGATTTTCAATACAAACGTCAAGTCAATTTTGCTTTACGGATCAGAAACTTGGCGGGTCACCAAGAATATTTTCAACAGCCTGTTGCAGACCTTCATCAACAACTGTCTTCGCTCCATACCGAAGATTAGATGGCCGGAAAGAATCACAAACAAGAAGCTATGGGAACAAACGAAACAGGAACCAATCGCCCAACAAATATGCAGGAGGAAGTGGAGATGGATTGGACACTCGCTGAGGAGGCCGTTGAGTGACATCGCGCGTCAAGCCCTCGAGTGGAACCCGAAAGGGAAGCGGCTAGTGGGACGTCAGTGCAAGGGTGACACGGAGGAGATCGTGTGAGGAGGAGATGAAACAGTATGGAATAACATGGACGCAAGTGAAAAGAACAGCAGAAGACAGAAGCAAGTGGAGACGTGCAGTTGAAGCCCTATGTTCCACTAGGAACCCAAGGGAACAATAATAATAATCAATCTAGAAAGCATATAACACAAATTTATTAAAGCCATTTGACAAAATAAATTTACCAAGCGAAGTTTCAACCAACTCGAAGGATAAGTTCAGCCAAGAATAACATTATTGGGGGAAATATGACAGACTTCTTTAGAGTACACACATCAAATGAGGAAGTAGTACTGTTTAGATATGGTGGTGATTTGTAACTCAGGTGGATAATACTGATGTAGTTGCGTTCTCTGGGCTGGATGGTTTATTTGCGAAGCACACAAACCAACAAAATCATTTCATTCAGTTCTAAGTCTACCAAAGGACTCAACAATGAAAGAAGATAAAACCAACATCCTTTGCGAAATAAATTGCAACGATTGTAATAAACACTACATTAGCCAAATTTGGACGTCCCCTTCGTCTTCTTATCCATGAACACAAACCAGCAGTCAAAAACATTGCACCCACTACGTCGTATCTTTGCATACAGACAACCGCGGACATCAGTTCGACTAAGACAACGTTCAAATATTAGACAGAGGAAACAACAAGAATGCAAGAGAACTTTCAGAAGCCTGGTATTCTAGTGAATCGTCGATCAATAGACACATCGAAATAGACAAAATTTACCAACCAATAAGAAGGAAATCTCACACACAAAGGGTCAAAGTTCAAGTCAAAGAAACAATCAGCCCCAATACGAGTAACCTAGAGTGTGTGAAAACACAAAAACAACCAACTACATTCAAGGTCACCAGGACAGATGACTAATAAATCCGTGGAGATATTCTAAAGCTCACTTCAAATTGAAGTGTTCGCTGACGATGTTGCATAGTAGAACGATGAAAGCTTCGGAAATAAACTATCCAGCTCAGAGAATACAACCGCATGAGGTTCACTGTGTTTGTCTGCTTTTCAGCAATAGTTACTTTGAAGTATTTCCCTGTATTAGAAACATTTTACATTATATGAGCTCCGGGATATATATTGAAGTCATTATCTGCATTTCGGACTCCACTAAGGAGTAAATTTGTTTCGCAGTAATATTATTGCTCAATTCACACAACATTTCCTTTTCTCCGAGAAGCTATTTTGTTGAGAGGAGAAACGGTCAAATCTGATGGCAAGCGTGTCTCTGAGATAACATATGTGAAGACAAAAATTTAGATAACATGTAATATTTGAGATAGGGTTACCAATAGAGTCCTTATTAAACAAGTTCCATATCGTATCTTCGAGCATGCTGATTCTGTGCCTTCTAAGAGGAACACCTGGCACACAACCTTCTTGGATAGGTATGAAAAGGCACTTTGTTGTAATTTTCCACAAAGTTTGAGTGAGACCGGTAAAGTACAATGATCAGAGTCAAATAGTTGAGCTTTTAAAGATTTTTGCATATTCTGGAGTCATTCATAAATACAAGATCAAGAGAGATATCAAGTCGAGCAGGAAGTTACTTTCGGCAATTTTAGAATTATGCTCACAATGAGTTTTGATGCAAACAGTAGATTAAAGTATATTTGTACCCTTAGGTGGACTAAATGAAAAGCTAAAATTCACTCTTATAGACTGGACTTATAATAAGTGGCGATTGGACATTAAGCGTCACCTGACGAAAGCGGCTTCTTAGGTCTCAGGGCTACAATGCCTCCAAAAAAGAATGAACCTTCTAAGAAGAATGTTGACAAGCAGAAGCAGAAGATTATCGAGGTAGCTAATTTCGAAAGTATACAATATTTTCAGGACAAAACTTTCGGGATGAAAAACAAAAAAGGTGCTAAGCAACAGAAATTTATTCAACAGGTACAAAAACAAGTCACACAGGGAAACAAATCAGCGAAAGAGGTAACCATCATTTTTACATTAGAATGTCATTTAGCTTGAACGTGAAAAGCTAGATAAAAAGGAGGATAAGAAACGAGAAAAGCTCGAGTTAAATGAACTGTTCAAACCTGTGATAGAACTACAGAAGTGTGCGAAAGGTGGGCGCATATACTTCAGACTAGATGTGTTTTTCTAGGTGTTGATCCAAAGTCAGTGCTTTGTGTCTTTTTCAAGCAGGGTTTGTGTGCAAAGGGAGACAAGTGCAAGTTTTCACATGACCTTACTGTTGAAAGGAAGGCTGAGAAGCGTGGAATCTATTCGGAATCTGAAAAAACGGATGGTACCATGGATGACTGGGATATCAGCAAACTGGAGGAAGTGATTAGTAAGAAGCATGACGCTGAGAATAAAGGTTTACCACCTACTACCATAGTAAGTTTCCGATACTTTTATTTTAAGTTCCTAGGTGTGTAAGTATTTTCTTGATGCAGTGGAAAACTATAAATATGGCTGGTTTTGGGAATGTCCCAATGGCAAATCATGCCATTATAGACACGCTCTGCCACCAGGTTTGTGTAATTTTGTCTCTCACCTTCTTAGGTTATATACTGCTGAGGGATAGGAAAAAAATGGAGGAACAAAAGGAAATTATATCAATTGAAGATTTGGTCGAGCGAGAGGTATGTTCGATTAGCTGTGAACTCAGGGCAGCATAACAAAGTAAACGATTACTCAGTTCATATTTGTTATTGTCAAATAAAGTTAGATTTAAAGTTTTCAGCTTTTATGTAATTTTGTAATGTGTTTTGTAGTTCGCGTTTTGTACTCACAGATGTGTTTTCATAGTGCTTCGAACTCATGGTTTACATCTGCACGAACGGTCTACACTAGCAGTCGGTTTTTGTGTTAAGTGTGCAGATGTTAACACCATATGTCCCAAAATTGTATAATAGCTCAGTGACACATTTCCCATATAATTAATGCCTTAGTTTGAGAGCAAGCCTATGAAAGACGCATTAAAATACCTTACTATAATGGGGATAAGACGGAATTCCTGAAACTAAGTTGTGGATATAGATATTATGGAAGCGGTTATATTTAACCACTTCTGTAAATTACTCTGAAGCTGTTTCTTCTAGTAGTTTCCATCGTCTCAATAAGGTTACTGTGTTAGGATAGGGAATTCCAACATAACGTCGTCAGTTGATTTGAAAACATCAGTTTTGTGGGAAATACAAGTTGATATGTTTTAGGCTCTTATACGACTGATGTATCTGTTCATATGTGATTTTCTAACAGGTGTTGGGAGACTTTATCTGATCTATATAGACTTTCTAATGAAAGGGGACTCAATGTATCTTTGTGATCCCACTCAACAATTGTTTGTGTACTGCGTCTTCGAATTGATCCTTGAAAATCGGGAGAAATTATGACATTTAGTGGCATTTGCCTATAACCCAAACCATCCTCTACAGTTTAGAAGACATTAAATAAGTATTATTATAATCTGTCAGCTTCTCTATGAAAGATGTAGTCACGTAAATAGTGTGTCCAGGTAAGGGAAATGAAATAATCTGATGAAAACCCTAAGAGTATTATTGGAGTTGCTGGTAAATAAGTTGATAATATTGATTATCTCCTATCTCTTCTCTGGATAACCACTGTCGTTACGATGCCTCAAACTGCACGGCGTAAAGCCGGTGGGATGGGATACGAACCCAAAACGCACTAGTGTTTTGGTTGTAGACCTTTCAAGGAGCATTTAAGCAGTAAATTTGAAGTTGGATTGTCTTCAGAAACCCCCCCCCCCCTTTATAATTCACTGGATAACACCATTTATAAGTTGCATCACGCTTGTGACATACACAAGGGCTCAAAACATTGGAAGTACACTGGCCTGAGTCACTGGTTTTTATTGTCTAGTCCTGTATTTATCTGTGTACCTATTTTGCAGTTCAGTCTCCCGTTGGATTACTACTATACAGTGTTTCAGGGTGCTTTTATTACTACACAATCGTGGTTTATTTGCATGTGTTTAGTTATTTGAATTGAACCTGCTGTTGTATGTTTAAATTTTTGGGACATGGTTGGTTTTAACGTCAACTGATATCAGTAACATCATATAAATTTATATTACTTATTACTGTATATTTATTGTAAATCTCTAGAGACAAGCTCTTGGCCTTAATCAAACCAAAGTTACGCTGCATACATTTATGGAGTGGAAAAAGCGAAAGGTAATAGACTTTTTACTTCAAAAGTAATATCTTTATACAGAGGATTGAAAAACTAGAAAAGAGGTTTGCTGATAAAGCAGCACGAGAAGCTAATTATAAACAAGGACGTTCAACTGGAGTAAGTCATCAGCTTTTTATTTTGATCATCTAAAATATGTGAAAGACACAACACGTACTGGTCGAGAGGAAGATAATCACTATGTATTTGCATCCAGATATTTATACAGCGTAGAGGTTAGACATAGAATTATATGCCAGGAAGACAATCCTTTTTTAAGCTTGTGTGAAAATCCTATCGTAAATTTAAAGTAGCCACGTTTTGAATTGCTTGTGTAGTTAGCTACTTATGTCCCGGTTATCCGGTACTGAGCTATGGGCCACACTTTTTGTAAAGGCTGACAGTAGTTCCCAATTGCCCAGGTTGCTGTAGGTAGTGCGGGACTCGAGCTCAGGACCCGTCAGTTGAAAGTTAAGTGCTCAATCCGTAAAACGATATCCACATCACAGTGGTTGAGTTACTGAGTCACTTCCAAAAACTTTGTCATTTCGTATATTGCCAGACTGTATGCAGTTTTTTGTTTGCCTTGTTAATATAGAGATTAACTAGGTAGTTTTGTCAGATTGCTCGGTGTTGAATGATGCTTAAATAATCTTCAATCGGACTCCATTACTTTCTCCCGAAAGATATTTCTGCCAGTTCTTAACCTTATTAAAATATTTAACCTCTCTTCCTTCTACTATTTTCCAAACACCTTACATGCTTCATTTAAGGATGATTATAGTAAACTTTTACACAGTCTTAATTTAACTTTTAGATTAGCGGACGTGAGATCTTTGAGTTCGATCCAACATTGGTTATGGAGGCAGTGGATGATGATGACACATCTGGAATTGTTGATTCGAAAATCCGTGACGACGAAGACAATGAGGTTAGTATAAAAATTTATAAAGGTATAACATTGTTACTGATGCTGCCTGGGCAGTATGTATCGCATGTAGCGTTCATTACATGTGAGTTAAAAGGGGAGTAAGATTCAATTAATATTGAAGAAGTGTAGAAATCATTGATGAATTATCAGAGTAGAATTTCAGTCCAATAACAGGTTATTTGTAACCATAAAGCCTCCTTAAATTTGTGTGACACACGCTTTATTCGCTTTCTGAATTTATTCGATAAATATGCTAGCAGCATTGTAAACTGGAGCAAATGTGTTTTTGCGCGACGTTACCATAAGAATTATTATTCTCCTCCTTTTTTGTTTACTGCCTGAAAGGACAAATTAAAACAATCCCTACGAAACGCGTAGATTATAATTGCTTTGGGTATCAGATTCCACGGTTAAATATACAAGTAGCACAAGTGAATGAGAATTATGTGTAGTAGAGAAGTACCTTTTCGAAACGTATTCATCAGAAATTCGAATATTGACGAATCGTGTTGAATAGGATGTAAAATGGGGACTGGGGGTGTCAATCTTAACATATTTTGAGATTATTTCGTCAAACAGTTACTGAGTGCCCTACCACTTATGAAGGACATTGTGGGGTAGTGGTAGACAAATAATAACAGTAACCGTCAATAATTTCTACCAGTATTATTGGAAGACAGAGTGAATATGTCAGTGGTCTTGTAGATTCATATTGGACCTTGTTGACTTAGCATTTGAGACTGTCATTCTTGAACATTAAACGATAATATTTGAAAGGTGTTAGTAATCAGAAAGGTGAGACCTTAACCTTTCACCGTGTTTTTTCCACTTACAGTTTATCTTGGTTGTAGGGTCAATAAAGTATAACTTTTCTTTTCTTGAACAAGATGATTTGGAAGCAGAATTGTATTTAATGTGATATGTACCCTCTAAAACTTGATTAGTTATCAAAGCAATAAACTTTCACTTTGTTGCTTCTTTTCAGTCTTTCATATTTTAGGTAATCTACAACGATTGGAATTGACCGAATAGAGTTTATTTTGGGTACACGTAGCACAGAATGTACTATTATTATGCATTCATTTCGTTTTGTTGCATTTTTTCTAACGGTTTCTAATAGCTATCGTAGAAGTTTCCGTGTTGGAAAAATAACAAATCGTCTACGGTTAGGAGTGTTAGTAATATTTTCCCTACTGTCCTCAAACGTAATGCTTTTCTTTTGGGAGATTTTGTCATGAAGTTGTGTGGTCACAGCTCCCACCGGTGAAATTTCACCGCTTTCTAAACGACATTACAGTTGGTTTCATGAAAACAAATGATTGGAAGCTAGTGTCACCAACTCCTTGAATAGGAATGACGTTTATGGCGAATCAGTCAGTTTGCATTCATTTTTTCTCGTTTTAAGCTAACGAGTGATGTGTGAATCTGTTCCAGCTATTGATTTCCATTTCAATGCTGCTCAGGGTGCTTTTGCAGGACAAAGTGGACAAGGCATTTTAGTTATAGGTTTAAGAGAAATCTTTTGTGGTTTCATACATTTTATAGTATTTCTCTGGCCGTCTTGAATTATAAATACAATTATGTTTATTACTTAAGATAAAATATTTTAGCAATTCGATTTAATTCATGAATAATCCCCATTAAGGTACTAATGAAAACAAAGTACGTAGTTCAGCAAAGAGTCTGTTTTCGAAGAATTCATTTTCTTAGCTGTACAATCGCATACATATATGTATATATCGGTTACTTTGTACTTATGTGTACATTAAGTTTGTCAAACAAAAATACAATTAGTTATGGTTATTTTAACTTATGGGATGAGAACCAGTATGTTTTGGGTAGAGTTACACGACTCCACCCAAAAGTACGTGTTTTGTTTTCAATCTGTTTTAATCTCCCTCATAGTCTTTGCATATTATTAATGCTGCTTGTTCAATATTTTTCATTCCATTTCAGTATTCGGGTCCAGTAAGGGACATTGACTTGAATATGTTCACTATTGAAGGATTGGAGAGTGAAAATTGTGAGTTTATCGATTGGGTATATAAAATTTGTTTGTTCATGTCTTTGGATTTTGTTTCTTTTCCGAACTAATGTGAAGTTTCTCTGATTAGTTGTCGGTGATAATGGTTGGTTAGCGTTCAAAACGGTTGTGTACTTAAATCGGAAATAAGCGATTCACTCAAATGTAAAAGTTTTATTGGATTATCATGCTTATTGAGCTATCTGTAGCAACGTTTAAATCTGTACGTTGTATTTCGTGTATTCAGCTTTTCTTAGTGACTTGTTCTATCTCTGTCACTAGTGAGATATCCAACTACGTAACTCCAGCACTTATGATGCAATCAATGACTAATTACCAACTTGATCATTATGACTTGCATTATGTGTTATTCACTTGGAAATGAGCTCAGTGATGTCTGTATTCTCAAGTAGTGAAATGCCCTCTACTCAGTTGAAAGCCTGATGAGAGATTACCCAAAATGCATACATACTTAGACTGCTATTTTAATTTCCATAATGTGAATATTGAAATAGATCTTTGCAATTGAATCATCCAAATAAGTTGTTTTGAAGTGCTATCTTCAACTGGACAACTTTTATGCTTGAGTTATATGTTTTAATTTTAGGTGCGACGGGGGATGCTGTAACTGGTGCCTCTGCAATGCCAGGAGTTAGCAAAATCAATGAGAATGGATACGGTGGTGATGGTTAGTAATAATCTGTCATTCCTATTTTCTGTGTTTTATCTCTTTTAACTGATTTATTGTGCATGGAAATATGCTTGCAGTTTGAGAGTGTGTTTTAATGCTCATCAATTGGGTGGACATCTGAAATTGAAGCACCTTGTGTGCTGCTGGGTGATTTTATTTGGATTTATGTACCTATCCAGTTGGTGGTTAACTGAATGTCCTGCTCCAATGTAGATTTCTGTTATTATTCATTTACGATACAATCGGTCTACTGATCTACTGGTTTTTGAATGAGAAAGATGCATCCTTTCGCTTGATTTAAGGATAGAATTTGGGCCTTTTAGATCATTCTTTTCGTTTACTTCTTCAGGTTCCACAGTTGTATGCCCATATAAGTTGAGATATAGTTGTTTGTTACAGGCAACAAGATTTTGTTTCGAGATAGATTCAGCAAAATCAATGGACGTGAGACATGTGCTCGAAATAGGATACCTGTGCAACGTAGTCATGAATACAGTTGAGAATGTGTGTCCATATGTTAATTAATGAAAACAAAATAGGTAGTTCGGCGAAGAGTCTCTCTTCGGCGAATTCATACACTTATCTGTACAATAGCAACTATATACTTGTTTTTGCATGTGTGTGTGGCTTAATCTGAAGGTCGTGAGTTCGAGTCTCACCTGGGACACGGCTTTTCAACTCAGATACACATCCTACTGGATACCCGTGAAGATTTGAGATTGAAAGTTTCCAGCGCCTTTCACTAAATAACCCCAGCGAATTCCTAGTGCGTCGGTGGCATAGCGGTTAGGACGCTCGCCAACCATGCACATGGTCCGGGGTTCGATCCCCGGCCGACGCACTCCTTTACCTCGCTAAGCCAGAAATAAAAGCTGGTAAAGGGGAAAGGTTGGGCATGAGGCTAGCAACCCCATCCTGTAAAATAAACACTGGTACAGAAACTTCAAGCTTCTAGCTTAAAGCCCTATGTTCCACTGGGAACGTAAAGGAATGGATGGTGTACATTAGGTTTGTCCAATAAGAATAAAAACAAGTTAGGGTTATTGTCGTCAAGACATTTCAAAAATGTGATGAATAATCAAATTGTAACTGGGGCTGGGGTGAAGACTGGTAAGAGTGTAGTGGTGATATGTTATCAAAAAGCATAGTTATTGATGCATAGAAGAATGGTGAATGTTTCAGCAATACTGACAGAAGACGAAAGCATATTGCCTTTACTTTGTGGATCACATTTCCTTTGTTTCAAAGTGCATCGTAATCACAGCTCACTGATTGAACTATTCATCGTATTACGTAACAGTATCACGCTTATTCAGCTTCATTTATGCGTTAATAACTATGCTTTTTGACAGCACATCACCACTACCCTCTTACCAATCTTCACCCCAGCCCCAGTTACAATTTGATTATTCATCTCAGTTTTGAAATGTCTTGACAGCAATAACCCTAACTAGTTTTAATTCTTATTAGAAAAACCTGATGTACACACACATGCAAAAATAAGTATGTATAATTGTGATTGTACAGCTAAGTGAGTGAGTTCTCTCAACGGTGACTCTTCACTGAACTACGTATTTTGTTTTCATTAATGTCTGAATGGGGATTAGTCATATGTTAATTACCATAGATGTAATACTAAATAGTAGTCCGACACAAACCTCCGATTTTTGTTCATTGGAGATGATCACAAATGATAATGAGTTTATACAAGTGAGTGTCAGTGGGTGAAATGTGCTTACAATGAATTTCATGCAAATTTCAATTCTGATGTTGTATAGTTGTATGGAGTCAGCAGATATATCTGAATCTAGGTTTATATCTAGGTGGAACATGTCAGTAGGGCGTATCTACACTCTCGAAGAAATTGATGCTGTGTGTGATATTGGGGTCCACATGACAGTGCCACATCCAGCGACATCGCAACTGAACTATCCACACTGATAATTGACTTCCTGTAGGACTGAAGTGGATACATTGGACTGTTAATTAAACAGTGACCAACGACGTGTGTCTAGTGTTTGGTGTTGGTGCCGAATGAATTCTGTCAGTCAAGTTTGGACTATGGAAACCCATCATCGTGATATACTTCCAATTGAATTTTATTTTTTGAGGAGTTCTCAAATGTTTTTGTAACTTAGCATAATGCTACTGAATAATATAACAGTAGCATAATTTTTAATTGAAATTAAATTGGAGGTTTCTTCGTTTTCTCATGAGTCTTTTTACACCTTGTACTTAGCAATGTGAGTAATTGAGAATCACGGATCCGGGATCGAAGTACTTGCTAAGCAGAGCAAGACTACTCATGCAGGTTATTTCAATACTTAATGATTGTATTCTGTTGACTCGACACAAACATTTAAGTAAAACCATGCGAGAATGATGTGAGGGCTTTTTCAAATCTAACGAAGTACAGGTCTTTCAGTGTTAATGCATCAATTTGACACTGAATTTTCGCATTATTACAAGTACCAGGCCTTACATTACGTTGCTTTTTATTTCTTTCTTATGTAATTTAGATGTAGTAATCGATGAAGAATTGTTCGATGAAACTGATCTAGCTGACATTGAGGCAGAAATAAACGAATTAGAATTGGAGCAATAATCACATCTCTCCACTCGTCCTGCAGTCAACCCCAACAATGAAGACGAAAAATTAATAGAACTATTTGAATAACACACAGTTTTCTTTCATGGTTTGTACAAAGATACTTGTCCACATTTTCTAGTTTGTTTTTCAAATAGTGTTTGTATTTTTGTTTTGATTGCAAACGCCTATTGGTATGATTAAGTATTTATTATGCTATGCTTTGTTCTTGAGCTTTCTTTTCATTATATTTGTCTCCTCTTCTTCTGGAACACTTCAGATATTTTCCATTTCGACACTCTGTAAGATAAGAATACAAAGTTATATTTTTTATCATCACAGTTGTTACTACACAGATCTGAGTTTGTCGGGTATTGGGGCGACAGGTGTGAAGCGTTTTATTTTGTTCATGGATTGATTGATACCATTCTCTATCCTGATATCAAGTTGGCCTTAGAAATAGCTGTCGTTTAGCCACTATAGCAGTAGTAATTTTATCGATATGATCAAATGCTTGAATACTTAATGCTTGCTCCCGACCGAAAGCTGCTACCTTGACGTGGTGGTCGGGCTTGCATATCGCAATGACCCAACGAGCTACACTGGCTGGAACTTAAGTTCCTGTAGGTCCTACCATGCCAGAAAGGTTGTTTGGATAGCGGTTAGACAAAAAGCAGCCACCCAATCCAATGCCATGACTCAAACAAAAACACAAAATATCATGCCGGATCGGTCGGGGCCCGGATTAACAACGACCGCGCTTCCTGCTGCCGTGTCACAGGGCAGAAGTGATAAATACGCTACTGAGACACACCAAATAAAAAAGAACAAACAAAAACAGGCCGTGTGTGACCGGCCTCAAGCAGTTGTCCTTTGGGCTCTGTGGTCACGCAACCAACTTCCACGGTGTGGGCAGCCGGGAAGTAACAATCGCCCTCACACTCCAAAGTGCACGCAAAACCTCTCTAATCCTCACTCATCTTTGTATCCATCTTCATCTCTATTATCTTGCCTTCCTTCTACCAATGCAACTCCTCTACTTGATGGCCCTTCACTTCCTCTTCACTCTGTGTGCACTGATAATGATGAAAGCCAAAAAGCCACCATCGATAGTCTCCTAAAGCCACGCCACCAATTTCATATAGGGGCATTTAACGTTAGGACACTTTGCCAAATAGGACAACAGGCATCACTAGCCAAGACTCTGGCATCCCGAGCCATTGATGTATGTTGTGTTTCAGAAACACGCATACAAGACCCAAGTGTGGTTATTCACCTAACCCCACCTGGCCGACAGGATGAATCTGCGAAATTCACCTTGAGGGTGTCAGGGGATGCGATGGCTAGCTCACGAGGATTAGCTGGTGTTGGGATAGCTTTGAGTACTAGGGCAGAAAAGGCATTACTTGACTGGATCCCGGTAGATAGCCGAATGTGTGCTGTCCGTCTGAATGGATCAGTGAAAAGGAGAAAGGACTGCACTACCCGCCGATGTCTTTTCGTAATCTCCGCCTACGCCCCCACTGACTGCAGTTCGGATGAAACGAAGAATGAGTTCTACCAAAAGCTGTCTAGTTTGCTGCGAAAGGCTAGACGCTCAGATATAGTCGTTTTAGCTGGTGACTTTAATGCTCAAGTAGGGAAATTGTGTCAATCTGAGAAGAATGTCGGTGGCACATACAGAATTCCGTGCCAGCGAACCGACACGTGTGTAGATACCGATCACGCACTGGTCCGCGCTCGTGTGTGCTTACGACTGAACGGACGTAGGAAACAGCTGGCGGTAAAACCATCACGTCCCCAGCTCGATCAGCAAACTAAGTCCCTATTTGAGGAAGAACTAGCTAAACACATATCTGAGTTCGACAGCTGCGCTCACCCTGAAGAAGCCTGGAAGAATATTCAATCAGCCATAGATACAGCTGTAAAAGCTGTGAATAAGGTAAATCCAAAGGTGAGTAAAAACCATTGGATTTCGACTGCCTCATCCGAACTGATAGATGCTAGAAGACTTATTCCGGCGAGCTCCGAATTCAATGAGGAGCGAAAGCTGCACAAAAGGAAACTTACGAAAAGTCTCCGCAAGGACCGTGAATAGTGGTGGTTGACGAAGGCGAAAGAGATGGAAAAAGCATCGGCGATAGGCAACACCAGACAACTATTCAGGCTTATCAGGGAAACAGGTGGTAAAAGGCAAATGATAAGCGAAATAATCTCCGAGAAAAATGGCACCATAATTAGCTCCCAGGATAGACGTCTGGAGCGCTGGAAAGAACACTACGAGGAGCAGTTTAATCGGCCCACATCCACACTTAACCTGCCGGACATCCAACACCTCCCTGAATGGGATATAGACACAGGTCCTCCGTCCCTAACTGAGGTTACTAGAGCAGCCACTAATCTGAAGCAAGGCAAAGCAGCGGGACCTGATGGATTGACTCCAGAGGTATTTAAGTATGGTGGCGACAGTTTACTGTCTGCGTTAACTGAGGTTCTAGGCAGCGTCTGGGAATCAGAGGAAGTCCCATCGGGTTGGTGTAAGTCACTGATCATCCCGATATACAAGAAGGGAGACAAGTCTTCTTGTGATAATCACAGAGGCATTAGCTTGACTAATATAGTATCCAAAATCCTAGGCTCAATAATACTGCGTAGACTAAGTGGTGCTCGGGAGACACAAACACGAGAAAACCAGGCAGGTTTTAGGCCAGGTAGAGGGTGCATTGATCATATCTTCACCCTTCGACAGATTCTAGAACATAGGCATTCCTACCGGCGTCCGACAATCATTATATTTCTTGACCTAAAGGCGGCATTCGATTCTGTCGACCGGGGGGTTCTCTGGCGATGCTTGGCTGTAAAGGGAATGCCGAGAAAATACATTGCACTGATTAAGGCACTCTACTCGTACTCATGCAGCCAGGTGAGGGTTTATGGCGAGTTGTCATCTGAAGTGGTGACGACTAGTGGCGTCCGTCAAGGATGCCCATTATCCCCATTCCTATTCAACTTCATCATAGATGTACTAATGGACTTAACCCTAACTCACTTCAGCGACTCAGGGATTGACTTGCTACCAGGGAAGAATCTCGTTGACTTAGAATATGCGGACGATATAGTCCTTCTAGGCGAGGACTCTGACAAAATGCAGAGTCTACTGAACACCTTGAGCTGCAATCTAAGAATGTTTGGCATGCGATTCGCCCCTGTAAAATGTAAGATGATGCTGCAGGATTGGACTTCACCGACCCCTAGATTAGAAATAGGAAGTGAAGTGGTAGAGCACGTTGACCGCTTCAATTACTTGGGAAGTACCAGCAGCCCCAACGGGTTGATCGCCGACGAAATCTCAGCACGAATACAGAGGGCTAGGTTCGCATACGCCAGTTTTCGCCGTCTCTGGCGTAGACGCGATATCCGACTATCGACCACAGGGCGTGTGTACTGCTCAACAGTCCGCTCCGTCCTCCTTTATGGCTGTGAGACCTGGCCATTGAGAGCAGAAGACATGAAAAGATTAGCTGTCTTCGATCATAGGTGTCTGCGTTCTATCTCCCGAGTGAAGTGGTATAATAAGGTGAGCAATATTGAGGTTAGGCGTCGAGTGCTAGGTAAGGAGGGGAAATCAGTCGACATGGCTGTGAAGCTAAATCGACTGAGATGGTTGGGACATGTGTTGCGTATGCTTAGCCATCGCCTTCCTCGACGGGCAATGTTAGCTGATATAGGGCCAGGCTGGAAAAGAGCTAGCGGCGGTCAAACGAAAACATGGCACCAGTCAATGAAATCCACAACAGTTAGTCTAAGTCACGTAGGGAGATGTAGACTTCCTGGTTGGGGTCCTCGGGACGGTAAAAACCAATGGTTGGAAACAATTGGTGACATGGCTCAAAATCGTTCTCAGTGGCGCAGATGCATCCACTCCTTGTGAATTATGATTTCCGATGAAACTGTTCGTTCTTCGTTATTACTACTCCTTTGTCTCACATCTCTGTTTACTGTCTATATTATGCATTTCTCCTACTTTCTTCTCTTCCTTTGTGTGCTACATGGAGTGTGGCGACTTGAACTGCCGCACGTCAGTGCAAAGTTCTATGTCGAAAACAGACAGACAGACAGACTTAATGCTTGCTAGCTTTCTGAAGTGAGAAATAAAACGAAGCAGTTCCAGACCATTGATGCGTAATAGAACGTTCGTTTTTCATTATCCCATCAACTGTCTCTCTGAAGAATTTAGGCTTCCTGGAACACTTGCCATTAGCATTATGGCCACAGAATAGTCATTATGAAAAATGTTCAAGTGAAACCGGACAGCTGATTGGATTAAACCGAAATGCCTATGGATTGTTAAACAAGGGACAATCCTGTTCATTCAAGAGCCACAAAACAGGAGTTGACTGCAAGCTACAATACACTGGACAAAAGAGTGAAGAAAAGTGCCAGGGAAGACAAAAGTCAGTATTACGAAGCTATGGCAAGTGAAGCGGAATAAGCTGCAAACAAAGGAGACCTCGCAACACTCTACCAAACAACTAGTTTCCTGTCGGGGAAGAGATAAGCACAAATTTAGTCAGTGAAGGATGACAATGGAAAGTCAGTCACCAAAGAGGTGGAGCAAAGGAGACACTGGGCTGAACACTTCAAAAGACGTCTTAATCGACCACCACCTACAACGCGCCCAATAATATCAACAGCGGAAGCAGAACTACCAGTAGACATCAACCCTCCGACAAAAACAGAAATCCTGAAGGAAATGAAGATGCTAAAACTGGAAAAGCAGCAGGACCAGACAGAATTCCCTCAGAAGCATTGAAAATGGACCCAGAGATATCAGCGGACTTGATGAAACCACTTCTGGAGATGTTGTCAATAGTGAGCAAGGCACCTGCGGTTCGGAATAAAGTCCACCTATTTAACCTGTCAAAGAAAGGAGACTTAAGTTAATGCAAGAACTGGCGCGTAATTATGCTCCTGTCTATCCCAAGCCAAGTACTAAGCCGCATCATCCTGGAGAGAATGAAACACGCCCTGGATGAGAGACTTTGACCGCAACAGGCTGGATTAAGGAAAAAAACGTCATGCATCTATCAAATCGCAACACTACGCATCACCATTGAACGGAGTTTGGAATGGCAGTGAGCTCTCTACCTCAACTTCATCGACTTGAGAAAGGCCTTCGACAGTGTCGATCGAGAGGTGATTTGGCAAATACTTCGCCACTACGGGGTACTGCTGACAATTATATACCTCATCCAACAGCTGTACGATAATGCTGCATGCCAAGTAATCCACAACGGGAAACTCACGGAATCCTTCGAAGTGAAGACAGGAATAAGACAAGCTGGCTGGCTGCCCACTATCTC